CCAGTGGAGCTGCCCAAAGAGCTGTGGGCATGCACAGCCCCGCTCTGAACCCAGGGGCTTGTTCCCTGGCACCCTTCACTTCTGTCGGCATCAAGCTCACGGAGCTCCATAACACCCAGGCATCGGAAGGCTGAGCGAAATCTCAGCAAGCCTGGTGAGGAGGAAACCCCGAGCAACAGAATTCTTCGGCTTGGAAGGCGGCTGGTAGAAGAGGATGGCCAAGGCCACTGGGAAGCCTCTAGTCCTTCTCAGCAGTGTCAGCCTGCTAGTATCGCAGAAGGGCTTCTGGGGGTGACAGGTTTTTCTCTTGGCCCTGAACTGAATTTGGCACCTAGATTCTCCAACACTGGACTTTGCATTCCTTTCTTCCTACTCTAGTTGTGCCTCGGGCACCATCTGGTTTTTGCGGGTTCAGTAGTGGACTCAGTGGTGCCTGGTGAAGAAAGGTCCATGCTGTCTGCGTGCTCACCCAAGCCCATAGCCTGGGCACTTTTCCTCGGGGCCTCCTCCTGTCTCTGGATTGATGCTTGTACTGCAGAACCATTGCCAAAGACCCCCAGGGACTGATCAAACAGCCCCCTCGGCTGCCCCGGGGCTAGCCCAGGTACAGCAAATTTCTGAGAATAAATGGCCTGGCCTCTGTTTCCCTTGTGTTGTTTTTTCTTTATCCACAAGACTTCCTCATAGGCCTTCAAGGTGGCAGCTAGCAAGGGAAGTTTGCAGTCTTCCCTACCGTAGCTGCTTTTTCCTAGACTTTTGCAGAATTTTTCCCTTGCAGAAGGATGGGAAGTTTAGGTATGTTAGATGACTCTGAGCATTGGCAGAGGTGATTGGTCAACATCTGAGAGGCTTGTGCAAGTCTCTTCCACTGAGAATCCCTTGTGTATTTAAGGTAAACCAGAGTTTAAATGGCAAGTCAATAATTGGGGAAATCATTGAGATAAGAAAGCTGAAAACTGTCTTGTCTTGAGAGGGACAAGTTTAGAGAACAGAAGATCAAAAAAACTGGTACTGAGTAGATAAAGGAAGGTTTTTTTCTGTAGTTCTTTGTTTTCTTTATGCCTTCTGAAGTTTGTCTGAGTCATGTTTTCATTTTGGTTTGTTTTTTTTCTGTCTTCAGAATTCATTTTGTGTTGCAGAAGTTTGAAAACATATAAAAAAATTTCTTCACTTATTCTTGCATATTCTTTGGCAAACATGAAAAGATAAGTTTGTAGGTAACAGGCTTTATCTTTGAAAGCCATGAAATCAGACTCAAATTTTAAATACCTTGTTGTGTCACGCTGCTTTGTGAAGATCTTAAATTGAACTGTTTTTTGTGGTGCATGATCCTTTCTCTTTCTGAGGCTAGGAGGTCCTCCTAGTTGTAACAAATGCTGTTATTTTGCAGTATACTGCCTTAGTACTTCTTGTTTTCTCTTAAGAATTCTTGTATCATTGATGTTCTACTGTGCTGCTTTCCTGTCATCCAGAGCTTTGCAACTGTTAACTACTAGATACGGTGCATAGAGTATGAAGAGAGCCAATGACAGACTCTTCACAGCAGTACAGGATTTCAATCAAGACTAATCTTCTCAGGCCGCTTTGATGGGCATTGATCTAAGAAACAGGTACATCAAAGCCCCAAATTTAGTAAAGGAATAGAAGTGCTGGGCGCCTGCTATGAGCCCTTCTGACTTCACTGGAGTTTGTACAGCTGCACATTTCAACCTGCATGGATTTTCATGTAGGATAGCTGGAGAAGGTGAAGGAGCACTAAGCTACATTCTCTTTGGCTTTTATCATAACAAGGAACATGTTTGTACCAATTTGCCAAGAAAGAATATATTATGCAGTGGCACATCACTAGAAATTCCTCTTTCTAGTAAATCTGCACTTATGCCTGGATTGGCATTGCTGCTGACACAAAATGGCTGACTTGTTTGGGTAACAGCCGGTGCTTTACTGGAATCTAATTACTCAGATTAATCAAATCCCTGGAATATTTTAAGAATAAAGACTGCTGTATGAAATCACTTTATTAAATTGTTATGACTGGCCGAATGTTTTTTATGTATTTGCAAAATGATGAAGGTGGCACATTTTGACGTGTTAAAATTTAGGGGTTTTTTTTAATAATAACGTTTCATCTGTCATATTTGAGGATACTGCGAACGCGAATGTTTATTGTCAGTGTCCAGTGCTCCCTTTCCTCCCCTTTGTATTGACCTGTCTTTTCTTCCAGCTCCATGGTTTCCCCCGTGGCGTTTCCAGTCGGATGTGCGGGATATTCCCTCTCGTTATGCAATACGAAGGTGAACAGAAGCGGGCCGGGCTCTGGGCCGGGGCCGGGCCGGGCTCTGGGCCGGGCTCTGGGCCGGGCTCTGGGCCGCGGCCGCCCCCGCTCCGCCCGCACG